ACCCAGGAGGCGGAGGTTGCAGTGAGCCGAGATCGCGCCATTGCACTCCAGCCTGGGTAACAAGAGCGAAACTCCGTCTCAAAAAAAAAAAAAATAATAATAATAATAATTATTCAAGTTTGAGTATAAAACGCAGGTAACTGAATCTAGTATCTTTGATCTGTCAGTACAATACGCTGCCTTCCATTTTATTCTCTCTCCTTCTCTTGAACCTACAAGTGTCTTTTCTGCCAGTCATTCATCACTACTATAGTGCTCATGTACTTGTTAAGCCCCCTCTTCTCTTTAACAAAGGTCAGCATCTCAGAATTCCAAGACAAACACTATTTTCATCAAACTCCAAACATATACCATATCTGTCCACAAATGAGTCCTGTCTACTACTCATACTATGTTCATTCCACACTAGACTTTTCTTAAGCTAGGCTTTTTTCTGGATTGCCATCCTCTAGTTCCTTATCATTTTTTAAAGAGCTCTGGATGTCCAGTTACAGAATCCAGAGCAGGGCTATCCAACAGAACATTCAATGGTGATAGAAATATTCTATATTTGTGATATCCAGTATACACTTCCAGTACAAAAGCCACTAGCCACATTTGGCTGGTGAAAATTGGAAATATGAATAGTGTGACTGAGAAACTGAATTTTCAAATTCAACTATTTCAAAATAAAATGCACATTTTATTTAAATTATTTGAAATTTTAAAAGCCATATGTGGCTACTGACTACTCTATTAGACAATGCATATCTAACAAGGGGCTGGCGAACTTTTTCTTGAAGGGCCAAATAGTAAGTATTTTAGGTTTGCAGTTCACACATTCTCTGTCATACCTACTCACTTCTGCCCTTTTAGCACAAAAGCATCCATAGATAATACATAACAAGTGTGGCTAATAAAACTTCATTTGTAAAAATGGGTCCAGGGCCATAGGCCATAGTTTACCAATCCCTGGGGATCTTCCATTAGGCATATTCATTTCATCCTGACAATAGCCTTGTTAATAGTTTGATCATTCATTCATTCATTTATTGAGACAGGATCTCACTCTGTCACCCAGGCTGGAGTACAGTGGTGCAGTCTTGGCTCACTGCAACCTCTGCCTCCTGGGTTCAAGCAATTCTCTTGCCTCAGCCTTCCCGGTAGCTAGGATTACAGGTGAATGCCACCATGCCTAATTTTTGTATTTTTAGTAGAGACAGGTTTCACCATGTTGGCCTGGCTGATCTCAAACTCCTGACCTCAAGAGATCTGCCTGTCTCACCTTCTCAAGGTGTTGGGATTACGGGAGTGAGCTACCACACCTGGCCATTTCCCATATTTTACAATTCATACTGTGGGATGCTGTTATGTGTCTGTGTGTGTATATGCAATGAGAAATTGCGCATGGATATGATTAGAGTCATCCTTTAACAAGGGACATATGACTAAGGCATGATGTGTATGTTTAGCAAGCTTCCGAAAGAATTCTGACCTATAGTAACGTTTGGGAACCTGTGACTTACTGTGTTTTCCTAATCACTCCCCTCATCTTATGATGTAACCTGATTTCTCTTTTTTCCTCATCCATTTGTAAAAAACAGTTCAGTTAAATTCTCCCATATTGACTGAAGTTTTGTTTCTCACAAATAAAAACATGATGATTGCTTTCATATTTTCTTTCAGTCCTGGAATCAAGATGTGAGACCAAGAAATTATTTCTGAAGAAAGAAATTTATGAAATAGAATCAACCCACTGGCAAATAATGGAAAAACTCACAAGACATGATTTTCAGTGCTCTAGGTTCAGAGATGATTGGGAATGTAATATCCAGTTTGAGAAACAGCTTGGCTCTCAGGAGGGACATTTCAATCAATTGATATTCACTCATGAAGCTCTGCCCACTTTGAGGAAGCATCCATCCTTTACATTACAGCAAATCATTAATAGTAAAGAGAAATTCTGTGCATCTAAAGAATATAGAAAAACCTTTAGACATGGTTCACAATTTGCTACACATGAGATAATTCATACCATTGAGAAGCCCTATGAATGTAAGGAATGTGGAAAGTCCTTTAGACATCCCTCAAGACTTGCTCATCATCAGAAAATTCATACTGGCAAGAAACCCTTTGAATGTAAGGAATGTGGAAAAACCTTTATTTGTGGCTCAGACCTTACTCGACATCACCGAATTCACACTGGTGAGAAACCCTATGAATGTAAGGAATGTGGGAAGGCCTTTAGTAGTGGTTCAAACTTCACTCGACATCAGAGAATTCACACAGGTGAGAAGCCTTATGAATGCAAAGAATGTGGGAAGGCCTTTAGTAGTGGTTCAAATTTTACTCAACATCAGAGAATTCATACTGGGGAGAAACCCTATGAATGTAAGGAATGTGGCAATGCCTTTAGTCAGAGCTCACAACTTATTAAACATCAAAGAATCCATACAGGTGAGAAGCCCTATGAATGTAAGGAATGTGAGAAGGCTTTTCGTTCTGGCTCAGACCTTACTAGACATCAGAGAATTCATACTGGGGAGAAACCCTATGAATGTAAGATATGTGGGAAGGCCTATTCTCAGAGTTCACAGCTTATTAGTCATCATAGAATTCATACTAGTGAGAAACCCTATGAATACAGGGAATGTGGAAAGAACTTTAATTATGGCACACAACTTATTCAACATCAAAATTTGTACTGGTGATAAACCAGAATATGTGAAATGTATAGGGAGGCTTTAATTATGGCTCAAAATAGAATTTATCTGCTTAATAATTCCTCTAGGCTGGATAGAGTGGCTCACATCTGTAATCCCAGCACTTTGGGAGGCCAAGGAGGGCAGATCACCTGAGGTCAGGAGTTCGAGACCAGCCTGACCAACATGGAGAAACCCCATCTCTACTAAAAATACCAAAAAAATTAGCCAGGTGTAATGGCGCATACCTGTAATCTCAGCTCCTCAGGAGGCTGAGGCAAGAGAATTGCTTGAACTCAGGAGGCAGAGGTTGTGGTAAACCACAATCGCGCCATTGCACTCCAGCCTGGGCAATGAGCAAAACTCCCTCTCAAAAAAATAATAATTCAGGATAATGTAGAAGCATTTTATTTGCAGACTACAGCTTATTCAGCCTGGGAAAGATAATGTTGGAGAAACACCCTATGATAGAATATACTTTGGAAACCCTTAACTAAATGCTCACTTCTCTTGACATCAGATAATTCAGTCTAGCAATATGATAAATAGTTCAGTCTGTCGTGCTGAAAAGGACTGCACTTTTAACACCTTTCTAACCTTAAACATCAGAGAATTTATGTGGAAATGTAGTCCTGTGATTTTCATTTTTTTCCCCTGTCTAATTGTTACATTATTAGTATTGTAATCCCATCTGTTTACATCCTGATTTATAAAATATTTTTAATATTTTAAAATAGTACCTGGGAGAAATGACCTCTTTATTTTTGAAGATGGCTTATTCTTTTTGCTCTTTATAACAATAAGGCTTCCTTATTGTAAAAATGTTCATGAACAGTATTTCACTCAAGAGATCCTTTAATATCTTCATGGTATTTTGTTTGTTACTGTAGTATCACTTATGAAATCCTGTTGATGGATATTGTAGTCTCCTCTAGGTATTTTGCCATAATACATGCCAAAATACAAGTCCCTGATGGGCATTCTCCTTAAGCACATCTTTGTATCATGTCTTTTTTTTTTTTTTTTTTTTTTTTTGAGATGGAGTCTTGCTCTGTTGTCCAGGCTAGAGTGCAGTGGTGCAGTCTTGGCTCCCTGCAGCCTCTGCCTCCCTCTGCCTCCCGGGTTCAAGCAATTCTTCTGTCTCAGCCTCCTGAGTAGCTGGGATTACAGGTGCCTGCCACCACACCCAGCTAATTTTTGTATTTTTAGTAAAGACAGGGCTTCACCATCTTGGCCAGGTTGGTCTTGAACCCCTAACCTCGTGATCCACCCACCTCAGCCTCCCAAAGTGCTGGAATTAGAGGCATGAGCCACTGCACCTGGCCGTATCACATCTTTTAATTACAGAAATAATATGTGAATACATTTTTCTTATAAAAGATGCAGGCATTACAAAAAGGTACCCTTTGACCATCATCCTTGTATCCATTCCATTCCCAAAAAAAAGTCTTTATCAGTTTATTATTTATTCTCATCATTTTTCTGTTTATATACATGTGTGTCTCAGTAAAAATTATAAAATATGGGGTAATTATAATACCTACCTTATAATGCTTTGTGAGGACTGATTAGGACACATAAAGTGCCTAGAATTGTGCCTGACATAATAAATACGTACTCACTGAATGTTAGTCATCATTATTGTATTCATCATCATCAGTATTATTATTTGTAGAAAGGCTTTTTAACTTCTGCAGAACTTAGTCACCATTAGGCAGGGTATTTGACTGAAGAAAGACCCTTTGAAGTTAACAAGTTAAGAAAATTTCCCGGCCGGGCGCGGTGGCTCAAGCCTGTAATCCCAGCACTTTGGGAGGCCGAGGCGGGTGGATCACGAGGTCAAGAGATCGAGACCATCCTGGTCAACA